GTTGCTATGACGAGGGGGGAGGGGCCTGACGACATGTACCCAGAACCGCCCGCGACACTGTTTTGCATCATCCGGGCATTGGGATCTCAACCCAGAATTCCAAGGGGCGGCGGAGACTGCGGGAACTGTGGGATAGCTGTGGGATAGCTACCCATAGTGCAATGCTCCGGAAGTCGACGCTAGCCTCGTACTGTGGACGCGGTCCGCCGACTAGAACACCTAGAGCATTTTATGTGTGGACACACACAATCGGCTGTATACAACCAATTTCAATAAAACCGGCTTCTATAAATTCGAACTAATTTCGTAGTGTAGACATACCCTAAGGGGAAAGGCCAGATACAAAGTGGGGGAGATACAAGGTGGAGAGGAGGAGAAGGATACATGGAACAGGGAAACTGGAGGCTTGAGGAGAGGCATCCATCTCCCACCCCCAAATGTAGGGATTGCATTGACAAAGGAAACTCTGAGTTTGGAACAGAAGCTCATGAACAGTGGACAAATTTAGTCGCTACAAAACTCATTAAAGCATTATTCAACAGTCATGGTATTTTTTTATCTCTGGCTCCCCCATATGAAAAAACCTGTCTGCGCCGTTGTCGAACACAGAGAAGTGCCATGCAAGAGACAGAAACAGGGAACTTCAGGGAGCAAGTTAGGGAAGGAGGGAGGGGAGCTGGCCCTCAGAGGGAGGGACGAGGAGTTGCTGCCCAAAGATGTCCGATGGGACTAAAGCATTGCCTGCCCTTGTGATACTACCCCGACTCATGATTTTAGGGGCTGGTTTTAAGCTGCTCAGGCTTTTAGCAATAACTTCTCTGTGATTTCCCTTCTCCCCCCATAATACAATTAGCCACCCTCTCCCCTTATCTTGAATGGTTTGGAAGCCAGGCTACCCTTAGCTAATATGACCAGGCAGACTGCTATGAGGAGCAAATGAAGTGAGGGGTGAGGGAAGGGGATAAAGAGGATAATGTAGAAGCCCAGAAGGGAGACCAAGAAGGAGTCAGACCTATACAGGCTGGACAGAGATGTTGTTGGGTGCAGGGGAATGTGGGGAGGGGAGGCAAGAGAAGAGCACCATAGGAGGCAGGGGAACTATGGAATTAGAAAGCCGGGCCAGCTCCAGCTTTTTTGCCGCCCCAAGCTGCGAAGGGAGGGGGGGGGGAGAGGGGGGAAAGATAAACCCGATTGAGCTACTGCTGAAGTGCCACCGAAGAGGAAGAGAGGGAGTGAAGGACCCCCGCCGAAGACCCGGACGTGCCGCCCCATGAACAGACGGACTGCCGCCCCTTTCTATTGGCCGCCCCAGGCACCTGCTTCCTTCGCTGGTGCCTGGAGACGGCCTTGTTAGAAAGGAAGAATAGGGCAGATGAGAGGAACTGGGTGGGGAAGTCAAGGATAGGGTGGGAGGCAGACACACAGGAGCCTGAAAACAAAATATCATTTGTTCAAATTGTACATGGTTTTACCTTTAGCAATCGTGTTTGCATATTGAATTGCATACCCTACACGTCCCCCTACCCTGACTTCCTTTGTACAATCCTGGATTTGTTAGGGGTGGCAGATCTCTTCATAATCCCTGCCGGGGATCCTCAGCTGCAGGACAGTGGTTGGCCCTAGACTCCCTGCTCTCATACTGCCCTTCTCTTTCAGTTGCTCTGGGAAGGACTGGAGATTGAGGCTAACGAGACAATCAGGGTGCAGGATGAGGAACTGGCCTCTCTGCGCACAGCAAAGCGATTTCTCCAGATCTTCCAGCACCAGGTTCCCAAGACATCAGAAGGGATCAAGAAGCAGCTGAAACATCTTTCACAGGCAGATGCCCCTCTGAGTCTAGTAGAGTTTGATCAGCTTCTCTTCACCAGCGTTTACTGCGCTTATCAGATTCGCTCCATTCAGGGCCTGGACAAAAATCTCTGGATCAGTTTCTTTTCTCAACTAGTTGATGAAATCCTCCATGATCTCTGCAAGGGATTCTGCCCTGCAAATTCCACTCTCTTGGCTTCCTGGCCCTGGAAGGAGAAGCCTTTTTATTTAACCTTACTGAAAAAGTCATATCATTCCAGCCTGGCCATGACAAAGAGAGGCACTGAGTAAGGAGACTGACATGACGAGATTCAATTGCATTCTTGTTACTCTGAGTGCTGCCAGTCATCCCAGATTATGCTGGTTACTGTGCAAAAGTGCCACCATTCTTCCTCTTTTGCTTTCTGTATTGTACTGGCAACATTCTAGGTATTTATCCAACCAGGTATTGTCCCATCTTTAAACATGAAACGAGGCCTGGGATGTCTCCCTAGGATCTCCATAGAAGACACACTTCTGAGATGCACTTCTGCCTTGATCACTGATGGCCATTAGAGATGCCACAGCACTTTTTCCAGAAGTCCAGGTATTAGCCTGTGATGGCTGAATTCCATCTCAGATAATTCCATTTTGCCTCCCTAAATTCCCCATGGTTGCAGTTGGATACAGTATTTTTCCCATACTACAGTAACTCACTGTACAGCATAGCTGTGCTGTTCATACAACTGCTGTGTTCCACTTTATAAGTGGCTACACTCTGTGGTGATTCATACTAAGTTCTGACTCATTTTATCTGTCATCCCATACCAGGTGCCTGGAACAGTTTCCCAAGTAATGTGCACCCATTTCCTTCCAAAAACTCTTGAAAATGTACTGATTCCATGAACCCTTCTGGTATAGGTATCATTCCCCACTTTGTATTAGTACAGAATGGGTATTTGCTTGTCTCTCATCTACTAAACTTTTGAGGGCAAGGATCCAGTTATTTGTTCAGCAGATTTTACCTCTTCTAGAGAGTCTTCTACATCTGTGGTACTTTACAAATAAAGTAATTGGAACAGTACTGTATATGTGCAATCATTATTTTTATAATCAGGAATTCAATCAATGTAGAGCTCAATTATGCTTCTTTGTCATACTCCCTACAGCATGGTATTAGCAACATAAATTCAGTTAGTCCAGGTGAGTTTTATTTGATATTGGTTTCTTGGTTTGTGCTGGCCCTCCCATTTACACTGTAGATGCACTAATCCTGAGCCTCTACAGCCTGCGCTTTGATGCTTAGGGTCATGCTTTCCACACAGTTTTACTAGACTCACAACTTCCACAGAGGAGCCACTTTCAGAAATGCATGCAGAAAATGACATTCCCAACAGCAACAATTAACTTTTGACCTAGTTTATATTTTTCTCTCTCATTATCTGACAGATGGAGATGAGAAACAGTAACCCAATAATGACAGGCCCAGAAGCAAGATGTAGGTTTTGGGGCACGGAGAATGATTTTAAAGGTCAGAGTTACAATTTTACAGGAGAATAGGGAGTTTGCAAGGCATAGATCTTGCAAAGAGTGTAGAAATTGGGACCAGTGTCTTATTTGCATTCCAACTCCTGGAAACCGGAAATAAAATATAAATGCTGCCTCACGCTATACTCGTATACTTCTTTCTATACCCCTAATCCCAAACCTTCACCCATTTATGGAAGTCACTTAGTCTTATAGGGGTAAGATTTCCATGGGGGTCTTGCAAATGAATATAGTTTGAGGTAAAGAAATTGAAATGAACATAAGGCTGGGTTTGGGTTTCACAAGAGGATGAAAGATTTGAGACTACAGTATTGCTAAGGTTTAAGTAAGAACCCTAGGTGAGGTGCATCTTTCTTGGTTGAGACTATAGGATTTGATATGAGGACCTCAGAGATAAGGAGGTACTGTCTTGGATTAGCGTTTTCATGGGTGGTTAGGTTAGAGGCTTTGTCTTCCCTTGAACAAAGACTGTGAATGAAGCCAAGTTGATGGCAAGTTTCAGCCAAAGTTTAGGCTGAGACCTATAAAACCTTATTGAATTTGGGAACCAAGCCAACATTTGAACACAGGTCTCACACAAGATATTAATCCCATAGCTCTGAGGAGCCCCCTAATATCCATTGCTCCACTGAACTCTTGGGTTGCCACCACCTCTCAGATTACTGTGCTACCACTGCCCCCAATCCCCTGCAATCTTAGTGCCAGCCACACTGGTCCCTCTATAACAGGAATGGGGCTCACTGGGACACAGTGTGGAGCAAAGGCAAGGACTATGAGAGCATGGACGTTGAAATCACCTTAGAAGTATGGTGGTGGCTTCCCCCTAAGGCAGGGTTAGGTAGAGCAACAAGGAAACAAAATGTTGTGTTATGAAGTCTAGTCACACTATAACGTTAAGAGTGCCCATTTCTTGGCAATAGTAGAGTTCAATACAGGCAGAATCACCATACACATTCAGACCATTGCCATCCCCAAATGTTTAAAAATCATGAGCCAGGCACCCCAAAAATCAGGAGATTTTTAAAAATAACACACATTTTGGGTTATTTTTATTTGCCTTCTTGTTTAGGAGCCTTTAGGGTATCCTTGATTCATGTTTTCAAACTTTTCTCCATAACCACAAGAGCTAGAAACTTAGTGGGGAGTTTTGTTATGAAAGCTGAGATTCACAGACAGACGGACACAATCTGTGGATTTCAGCAGCTGAGGCTTTAAGCAAAACACCAGATACCGTATCACGGGATTCGCAATAAAATCATAAGAGTTGGCAACACTGGATACCTCCTCCCGCAATTCCCTGACCTCCCACAAAATACATACACTCTGGCACAGTGACATACAATCTAACTCTGTTTAACAGTCTTCACAACACAAACACATGCAATAGTTCACACAATATCAGAGCCTCTCTCCTGCCCAGAATCAGTGTTGCAGGCAGTTCTATACACACAAGTCTCCGCAAACCCTGCACATTTTATTTTTTACTTTTATTAAATTCATTTCAATTACATTTTCCCTCCCCCAGGCCTCCCTTGGATGTGCCAGGAATGTCACCAGATGCTGTGCTTTTTGGTGGGGTTGTCTTCAGTAGGTCTCCCAGCATTTCTGCAGCGTCCCCCTGAATCACAACACCTCATTTCACTGCCCCTGCCACCAAACTACCTCATGCTTTATGCTTAAATTGAACAGTAACACTGGACTCACACTACCCCCTGCAAAGATCATTCTACAGATAAAAGACAGAAACAGCAATGGCCCTGCAGCCAGGATATTGAGCGTGCAGCATAAGGAAAGCACTGGACACACATTAGCATGCTCTTTAACATTGTCACGTAGCGGGTGACGTCCAACCAGGACCTGCACCCAAGTCCACTGCATCTTGGCTTCTCTTACGTTCCTTTCACACCTGCATTTAGATTTTTGACCTCATGGGGGAACTGGGACTTGGGGGTGGCTTTGGCTGAGCCTCCGGATAGATAAGGAATCCTGTGAAGGTGATGTACTTGCCATGGTTGCTGTAGGCACCGTAGCCATCATGCTGGTGGCTGTAGAGCCAGACAGTGTCTCCGTAGTGCAGAGGTAACATAATGCTCTGGCTCTGCATCTCCCGCCTCTTGGAGTGGTTGTCATCATAGATCATGGCCTGGACCTCATTATGGTTTTTCATAAGTTTCACTGACATGGTCTTAAAAGGCATTTTGCCAATGGTGAAGGAGAAGTAATATGCGCCTGGCACGCGGCACAAGAAGATGCCACTTGAGGAATTGAAATCCTTTCCAATGTTCACAAACTCTATGTCAAATGTGATTGGCTCATGCTGGTTTTGCTTCTCATCTGTTCCCAGGAGGCTTTGTGAGCGAGCAACAGAAAATGCAGAGCGAGGATCTCGTTCTCTGGCGGGCTGATCGGACAACATGTGTCCCTCTGAGGCTTCATTCTGCTCTCCTGAAAGTTGATGAATAGCTGGATGGGGCAGCCCTGCAGCTCCCCCCAGCTCCTGAGAGATCACACCATTTTGGAAGTAGGCAGAAGTATCTGGATAGATAAGATACCCATTGAAAGTTGTGTATGGGCCCGCATTGCTGTAGAGGGCATACTTAGGATCCCCATGTAAACGCAGCCAGACTGTATCTCCATAGTCCAGCTGCAGCATGGCACTCTGGCTAGCCACCTTCCGCTCCTTACGGTGATGCTCATCATACACAATCACTTGCACCTCATTCTTGTTTCTCATCAGCATGACAGACAAGTTTTTCTTGGGGTATTTCCCAACCGTGAAGGAGAAGTAATAGGCTCCAGGGATCCGACACCTAAACAACCCAGCCTTGGGATCAAAGTCACTGCCAATGTTCACATAGACCTTGTCAAAGGTGATGACCATCTCAACGCTCCCTTCCATGCTGCTGGTTCTAGCCACAGAGAAAGCAGAGCGGAACTCAGTCCCAGGATCGGTGGGGTAGCCATACACAAGGGTACAGGCCATGTGGCAGAGGAAGCTAAACAGGAGCTTAGCTTTCAGGGCCATCATCATATCTGAAAAGAAAAAGGGAACACATTTTAGCGTAAGTATTTTCAACTTATACACCAAGTGAAACCCAGAACTGTATCTTGTTACATAGACTCCAGGACCTGTGTCAGGCTTTGATGAGTCCTGAGTCCCATCTCTGATCAGTGTGAATGAAGACAGATGCTCTAACTAAGACCTGGGACCATGACTCAATTCAGATCCCAGGGCTGTCTGCAGCCAGAGGTGGAGCTTCTAGTCCTGTGCTCAGAGCCCTAAAAATCCCTTTGCTTTGAGAGCCTGGTAGCCTTCAGGGGTAACTCCATGGAGCCCTGCTGCTCATGGAGCACAGAAATCTCAACCCTCATCAGGATTCTGAGAGGTCTCCTTCTGGAAACACTTTTACTTACAGGATTGAGATGCTATGACTAGGAAGCAACATTACCCAACATAAGCCTTGTACTATGCTAAAATGCAGGTGAGGAACATATGGTCTAGAGATTACCATGCAGATGTCGCTGTGCAAGATTAGCCAAAGGGCTGATACAGCACTGGTTGCTTCAAAGGGTGTAGGACAGGGAAGTTGGTGGACTTATATCTACACTGCAATGTAAGCATAGGGTTCAAACTCAGGCCCTAACTCCCATTCTCTACACACAAATTGCGCTAACCCATAGCTTAGACCTAAAGTCCCAGGACCCCATAGGGTGGAGGGTCTGAGCCTGATTAATGCCAGGATCAAGGGTTCAAACCCTATTGCTTTGCAGTGTAGACGCAGTCACACTGGATTCATGCTCTAGGAGTCCACCAAAAGTATCTCACAATCCCATAGGCCAATTTTCTTTGTCCTCTTGACAGTCAAGTTTAGCAGACAGTCAAGATTTCCCACACTGCATCAAGAACATAGGGTTAAAGCAGCCACACTTTGGGAGGGCACTAGAAAGTCTGGGATATGGGTGGTTGGACTCAGGCCCACATAATGCAATGTAGACACTGGAGCCCTAAGATGGGACCCAGGGTTTAACAATTCCTAAGCTGGGGTTACAAATAAGTATAGATGCTCAAATCCTATGTTAACAAACCCAGGGTCTGCTAACTTGAGTTCTACTAACCCTGGGCTTACATTGCAGTGTAGATATACCCTTAATGTTGTTTACACTGCAATACCACCTGAGTGCTGTACAGACATAGAAGAGACACTCCCTTCCCTGAAGAGCTCACAAATTAACAGACAAAGGGAGGTGAAAGAAAGACCATGTACTGCAGAATGCTTAAACTGATGATAGGCCAGGGTTAAATGGTTTTATTAAAATAGATATATTCATTTATCTTACATCAATTTGTTATATATAAAAATTATCCTGAGCTGCCCCCCAGACTTGCCATTGGTTGATTATTTCTTGTAAGCATCATGGTAGAAGTTAATTTCAAGTGAGGGATTTGAATGCAGAGAGCATAGTAGCTGTGGGAACCAGTTCAGGAAAGGTAGAGCCCGGAGCTCGAGCCTGAGACTGAATGTTTACATTGCAATTTTATAGCTCCCCAGCCTGAGCCCTGTGAGCCTGAGTCAGTTGACACAGGCCAGTTGTGGGTGTGTTATTGCAGTGTAGACACACCCTTATACACAGGTTGTGTGTCTGCACTGAGTACCATGATGACTGTGGCATCCGTACTTGCATTTGGAATGGGAATGAAAGAAATGCTGAATCCTTTCCTGTCATCAGCTACGTTAACCAGCATGGTTCTAACGTGCTGTCTGTGCTCCAAGACTGACTCAGTGCATTTGGGAGTCAGAGGCTCTGCCAGTGACAGCCCCTCTGGCAAAAGACACACAAAGCGACTTTATCAGTTTAATAAACTCTTCAGTGAATTCTGACCTTATGTTGCCTCAAATAACAACTGCCCAATTTCAATTCCAAAGCAGATTTCTCTGTAAAAAGGTCACTTTGGACACGAGGGGAAAGGGTTTCAGAGCCCAGGCTTCAGCCCAAGCCCAAAAGGTCTACACTGCAATTTTATAGCCCCTCAAACCAAGCCCCAAGAGCCCAAGTCAGCTGACCAAGGCCAGTGACAGGTCTTTTATCACAGTGTGGACATAACCAGCTGGAGCAGAGTTTCTGATTTTACTTTATCAGCTCTTCCCAATAACTCACTAGTAAATTATTTAAATAAAGCAGTTAATTATGCTGTGTTTCCAACGGCATGTGTTATTTCTGTGACAACTCCCACTCACCACTCTCAGGATTATTTAGGTTATTTTTCTATATAAAATCATTTAGAAAGTGTCTGGGGGGCACTGATACCAAAATACTAATGGCCAATTAAGCTGGAATACACCTCCCCCATATCACCATGACACAATCAGAAAGTCCTCAGCCAGCTACAATGCCGCACTAAACAGAAGTATATTGCATCCTTTCTTGAACTCGGATGCTGTCGTTGCAAGATTCTCAGCTAGGAACAACTAGAATGTCCACCCACTATTCCAATAGGTCTTCTGGTGTTTGTTAAATTTAAACCCACATTGGTATCTCTTTCAGTATAACTGAACTTTTCCAGCAGATTGCCCGGGCAGTGACAGTTTCAGTGTGTGAAGCTAGTGATAGGCACTGCAGTCACTGCCTTCAGGTCACTTCATGATATAGGCTCTGAAACTAAGGAGTGAGGTAAGATGAGCGATCCAAAATAGGACTAGAACCCAGGTCTCCAGAATGGACCACACAAGCTCTAGCTCCAGGGCTACATAGCCTGTCTGCTGCAGGGCTCTCACTGCAGCACTCTCACTGCACCAGTCAGGATTCTGGCCAACCCACTCTTCCCTCCCTTACCACCGATAGCGCTGGCATATGTGGTGTCACCATAGAAGCACACTATGAAAACCAATCAAATACAGGGGGACAAAGATAGAGTGTTGCCTTGAAGCAGTCTATCCCACTATGGAACAGTGGCCCATGGGGAAGAATGGGAGAAGAGGTTTGAGACCATAGTGCAGCAACAGGAATGAAGAACATGGAGACAAACTAAACTGCACAAAACATGCTCTAATTTCCAATTTCTAATTTTAAAAACACCATAATAGAGGCTTAATGTATACCCCAAAAATGCCACCATGGCTAAACAACAGAGTAGAAGAGGTGATTAGAAACAAAAAGACATCTTTTAAAAATTAGAAGTCAAATCTTAGTGAAGAGAATAGAAAGGAACAAACTCTGGCAACTCAAGTGTAAAAGTATAATTATGCAGGTACAAAAATAATATGAAGAGCAACTAGCAAAAAACACAAAAACTAAAAGAGCAAAAAAAATATGTAAGTATATAGCAGAAGCAGGAAGCTTGCTAAAAAAATCAGTGGGGCTACTGGACAATTTAGGTGCTAACGGAGCACACAAAGAAGACAAGCCTATTGCAGAGAAGCTAAATTAATTCTTTGCATCAATCTTCCCTGCAGAGGATGTGAGGGAGATTCCCACATGTAAGTGACAAATCTGAGTAACTGTCCCAGATTGAGGTGTCAACAGAGAATGTTTTGGAACAAATTGATAAATTAAACAGTAATACATCACCAGGATCAGATGGTATTCATCCAAGAGTTTTGAAGGAACTCAAATATGAAATTGTAGAACTACTATCTGTGGTACGTAACCTATTGCTTAAATCAGCCTCTGTACTAGATAGCTGGTGGATAGCTAATGTAATGCTGATTTTTAAGAAAGGCTCCGAAGGCAATCCTGGCAATTACAGGCTGGTAAGCCTAACTTCAGTACCAGGTGAACTGGGTGAAACTACAGTAAAGAACAGAATTATCAGACACATAGATGAACACAAGTTGTTGGGGAAGAGTCAACATAGCTTTTGTAAAGGGAAATCATGCCTCACCAATCTATTAGAATTCTTTGAGGGTGTTGTCAAACATATGACCAAGGGTGACGAAGTGGATATAGTGTACTTGGACTTTCAGAAAGTCTTTGACAAAGTCTCTCACCAAAGGTTCTTAAGCAAAGTAAGCAGTCATGGGATAAAAGAGATGGATCAGTAATTGGCTAAAAGACAGCAAACAAAGGGTAGTAACAAATGGTGAGTTTTCACAGTGGAGAGACATAAATAGTGAAGTCCCCCAAGGATCTGTAGTGGGACCACATTCAGAAATGAACTGGAAAAGGAGGTAAACAGTGAGGTGGTAAAGTTTTCAGACCATATGAAATTACTTAAGATAGTTAAGTCCAAAAGCTGACTGCAAAGAGATCTCACAAAACTGGATGATTGGGCAACAGTTATGGCAGATGAAATTCAATGATGATAAATGCAAAGTAATGTACATTGGAAAACATAATCCGAACTATACATACAAAACGATGGGGTCTAAATTAGCTGTTACAACTCAAGAAAGAGATCTTGGAGTCATTGCGGATAGTTCTCTGAAAACATTTGCTCAATTTGCAGCAGCAGTCAAAAAAGCTAACAGAATGTTGTAAATCATTGAGAAAGGGGGATAGATAATAAGACAGAAAATATCATATTGCCTCTCTATAAATCCATGGTACACCCAGATCTTGAATACTGCATGAAGTCCTGGTCACCCCATCTCAAAAAAAGACATATTAGAATTGGAAACAGTACAGAGAAAGGCAACAAAAATTATTAAGGGTATGGAACAGCTTCCATATGAGGAGAGATTAAAAAGACTGGGACTGTTCGGCTTGGAAAAGAGATGAGTAAGTAGGGATAGGATAGAGGCCTATAAAATAATGAATGGTATGGAGAAAGTGAATAAGGAAGTGTTATTTGCCCCCTAACATAACACTAGGACTAGGGGTCACCCAATGAAATTAATAGGCAGCAAGCTTAAAACAAACATAAGGCAGTACTTCTTCACACAACACACAGTCAATCTGTGGAACTCATTGCCAGGGGATGCTGTGAAGAACAAAACTATAACGGTGTTCAAAAAAGAATTAGATAAGTTCATGGAGGATAAGTACTTCAGTGGCTATTAACCAAGATGGTCAGGGACACAACCCCATGCTCTGGA